TTCTAAAAATAGAATTATTGTCCCATATCATGGGGACAACCCCAATACTTGAAATGGCGCGCGCTTACGGTCTCCGTCCCCGATTATGGCTCCTGTTGTCAAATGTATTTAGCACTGTTGTACTAATTGAGAACACTGTAAATAAACAAACAAACATTGCAAATAGAACACAACTTATTAAGAATCCCAACTGGTGGAAGGCTGACCAGTTGGTTATTTAGACAACGCAGTCAAGGCGTTGAACTCGGGACTATAAAAGATTTGCGCCCTAAACTACCCGGCACGCCGCCTCCCTTAAACAAGGACGATATTGCGTTGCTGGTTCCCTTAACCAACAAGTTTTCAAAATCTTGGTTCACGCCGGGTATTAGAAATGCACCAGCTCCCGAAGGATCGGATTGTGATGGGAGAATGAGCGCAATTTGTCCGGAAACAGAGACTTGATGCAAACAGCCATCTTCGCAGTACACGTCGCTCTGATCACTATATTTTAAGCAATCATGCAAACATAAGACTTTCCAATTGTAAGACTGCATTTGACTGATAACTTATTGAAAAAAAAAAATCCTGCCCTATCTTGCGGAATACACTTCTGAGCAGCTGTGTCTCATAAGTCAAATGTTCAATCGATCGATGGAAGGCCATTTTTCTGCGGATATGAAACTCCCAGGCACCAGCTAAATCTTCTTGTCTGCATTGGTGACATTAATACAGGTCAATTATAAAGACAATACAGGTAACGTCAAGGGGTAAAAATGGGCTTGCAATAGAATGCAACGTCAGAGATATTGCCTTAGTTCCAACAATGTAGCTTCTGGTTTCCAGTACTGTAATAAAAGGTCATCTTAATCAACATTTCAGCAACATCGACTCCATTCACCTTTTTTGTGCTTCTTGTGCTTGAGAATTCGTCCTGATCTATAAACTATGTTCTGATAGGGCACGATTTGACGGTAGATTGCCTAAACGTTAACAGGCATAAATGGGGAAGGAGAAAGGGTAGGGAGGCCAATAACGCGGAGAAGAAGGAGAAGTAACGCGTGCTCTAAGAACCGGGCTTTTCGCATTCCGCCCAGCAATTTTCATGTAGTCCAATTTCATTACTGTCAACAGGTTCACCAATCAGAAACTGGCCCGCGTTTGTCGGCATAACTTACTTCCTACGGGAATTTAGTCAATTGAAATTATTTCCTGGAGTAATTAATTCTCGAAGTGTGAAACATGGGGATATCTCAACAAAACAATCATCTCTCACGAATAGTTCGAAAATAGAGAATAAAAAGAAGGAATACGGTTGCAATAATCCATGCAAGTTCTGTGGTATCGAGTATGGTGCAAAAGGGGAAAGCGTCTTTCGAAATTTTATTTACAAAGTCCACTGGCTGTGTTGGCCGACTGTTGTTCTTTTATTGGGTTCGCTTTAATTTAATGCAAAAGTAATTGTAGAAGTTGTGGCCGCAAAATAAGAAATCATCATATAGTGGAAATAATAAGACTATTTTAAAACAGCTGAAGTAGTAGTCAAACTTTTTATGAAGGCTAACAGGTTCTTTTTTTTTTCTTTCTTCTTTAAAGGTTTCTTGGAAATGCACCATTTAAGAAAAGTTGGCCTGTTACCATTCTTGACCCTGGTAATATGCAAGTAGACTTCTTCAAATCGCAGGACGGCCAGGACAGAAAGCGAAGCCTATGTACACTGTACATTATTCCAAGATCTCCAGTACAGGTCCTTTTTGTCTTTTCCTATTCGACTTCATGTATCTGTTATCCACTAAGTTCCACAAAAAGGCTAAATTATGTACAAATGATCCTTTTTAGTTAGCCAAGGAGCAAAAACAGTGCTAAAGCTTCATACTTGACTTGAGATGAAAAAAGAAAACTATGTTTTGCAGCAAAGGTTTCAGCAAAATGCACTTATAGTTACATGGCCCATGGAACAATAAGATATCCAATTGTCACATCCAAAACGGTAGTCTGAGTCTCTACCGCGAAGCAACTCAAGCTATTGGTTAGCAGAGAACAGGACACTTACCCCACGACCTATGGCTGCTTAAACTCGAACCGTAATCGATCCTTAAAGACGGATCATTATTTTTTTAACATGAAATTGTTTTTCGACATCAGGTTGTGCATATTTTTTTTT